TAGATAATAGCGATTACAAGAGGCTGGAAAACACAAGGGCTGGGTAAGGGAAAGAGGTTGGATTATGGATATCTGCCCATCACAACTCAGTTAGTTAAAAATGATGAGTTCTAGTGTCCACAGCACAGTGCAGTGACTATAGTTTACAATAACACACTACATCCTGAACAAAGAACTGCAAAGCTCCAAATAGAAAGGCAAAGAAATGGAAAAGTGAATTACCTGATATGATTGGTTTACACTGTGTATATGTGTTGAAAGATTGCACAATATCCCATAAAAACATGAAAGCCTCTTATGTTAATCAAAAATTTCAAAGGGCCAGCACTGTGGCATATTAGGTTAAGCCTCCTCCTGCTTGGCCAACATCCCATAAGGGCATGAGTTCAAGGCCTGGTTGCTCCACTTCAGAGCCAGCTCTCAGCTAAGGGCCTGGGAAAGCAGTTGAAGACAGCCCATGTGTTTGGGACCCTGCTTCCCATGTGGGAGACCCAAAAGAAGCTCCTGGCTCCTGGCTTCGGATCTGCCCAACTCCGGAATTTATGACCACTGCAGGAGTGAACCAGTGGTTGAAAGACCTCTCCTTCTGTCTCTCCCTCTCTCTGTCTGTAACTCTGCCTTTTCAAATAAATAAATAAATCTTCAAAAAATTTTATAAAAATAACCTCGTTTAAAAATGTGAAAATGTCAAAGCATAATCAAAAAACAGAAATACACAGTGAAATGCAATGACCTAATAATTATGTTTAGGCTAATTCTTTTCTGTAAAGAATGTAATTACTTTTTAATTGCAGCAAAAAAAAAATGTTAAGCCATTTCACCAAACATTCTGTGTTTTATTCCAGATTTAGAAATCTTGGAAGGGATTAGCCTATTCTGAAAAGTGATCGCTGTTAAATATAAGAGTGGGAATAAGAGAGGGAAGAGATGTGCAATTCGGGACATGCTCAAGCTGACTTACCTCAAATGGTAGAGTTAGAAACATACCAGGGGATTCCAATTCAATCCCATCAAGGTGGCATGTACCAATGCCATCTCACTAGTCCCAGTGATCAATTTCTGTTCACAATTGATCATAATGATAGGACTAAGAACCAAAGGGATCACATAAACAAGAATGGTGTCTGAAAATACTAGCTGATAGAATAAAAAAGGGAGAGAATGATCCAACATGGGAAGTGAGATACTCAGCAGACCCATAGAATGGCAGATGTCCTAAACAGCACTCTGGCCTCAGAATCAGCCCTTACGGCATGCGGATCTGGCTGAAAAGCCCATGAGAGTATTACAGGCATGGAAAGCCAAGACACTCTGGCAAAAAAAAAAAAAAAAAAAAAAAAAAAAAAAAAAAAAACCACCCTACATGAAAGATCTCTGAGAGTGAGATCCCAGTGAAAAGAACAGGTCATCAAAGAAGGAGGTACCTTTCTCTGAAGGGAGGAGAGAACTTCCACTGTGACCATGGCCTTGTCTAAATATGATCAGAGTCGTTGAACTCAGGGGGCTTCCATAGCCTTGGCAGCTCATGACAAGAGCCTAGGGTGATTACTGAGGCCATAAACAAGAGTGTCAATTTGTTAAGTCAACAACAGGAGTCACTGTGCACTTACTCCTCATGTAGGATCTTTGTCCTTAGTGTGCTGTACATTGAGATTTAATGCTATAACTAGTACTCAAATAGTATTTTTCACTTTATGTTTCTGTGTGGGAGCAAACTGTTGAAATCTTTACTTAATGTAGGCTAAACTGATCTTCTGTATATAAAGAGAAACGAAAATGAATCTTGATGTGAATGGAAGGGGAGAGGGAGTAGGAAAGGGGAGGGTTGCAGGTGGGAGGGACGTTATGGGGGGGAAGCTATTGTAATCCATAAGCTGTACTTTGGAAATTTATATTCATTAAATAAAAGTTTAAAAAAAAGTTAAAGAAGAATTAATTTAAACTAAAACTTAACACACATGGTTGGAGGAAAAAGTGACACAATTGGGCAAATAACTGGATTTAAGATTTTTAATGAAAGTCATTTTTATTTGTTATTGTCTTCTCTTGTTAAATTTCTGCATAATAAAAACTAACTAACTTGAGGAAAATTCTTAGAGCAAGTTGTCTGTAGGATTGGTTTCTAAAAAAATTAAAAAAATTTAAAAAAAAATTTAAAAAAATCATGGAAGTGAATACTAAATTGTCGTCATCACAAACTAAGCACAGTTCCAAACCAGTCACACATACTTGCCTGCACACACATACTTATTTGCACACTCATATCTTAAAAAAAAAAATTTTTTATAAGGCAGTAGCCCACTTTAGCTGTTCATAAAATCAGTGTGTATCAAAATTGTATGTATCAAAATTCTGCTTAGAATAACTCTTTTTATGCTATTTCTAAAATGAAATCTACCTACCATTAAAGTAGAGCTGGCATAGAAATAATTTTGAACTCATTATGTGAAATCTGTCCTTCAAACTTCCGGAAACTCCCTTAAGATTTGTGGAGTAAATATGATATCTTGAAATGTTAATGAAATTATAAGACAATATTTTATCACGGTAAAAAGTCATTAGATGCAGGTCAGATAAAAATGATACAATACTGAATTATCCTGCTTCTTAGTTTTGTGATATGGGCAATTTATTCAATCATCAGTAAAATGGGTATAATAAAATTCTAACTATTGTGTGTGTGAAAGAAAATAATGTATATAAAGTACTAAATATATAACATATACAAATGCTTGATAATTGTGAACTGTTGGTATCATTTTTATATTCAAAATATTATAGAATAGCATTTGAAGTTGCAAGCAAATAATTTTTTTTATAACTCATAGTGCAATAGGTAGAAAAATGTTGTATTTCTACTGTATATCCTGTTTAACATTTTCTTCATTCTTTGTCTAAAAAAAAAGATATTTTCTTTTAAAGTATTTTTCTATGGAATTAATTCTGCCTACAGATTCTCAAGGGTAGTCAACTGCAATAAGCTTTTACTAAAAGGTCCTTACGCTAAAAAATATGATACAAAGTGATGTCTATTCATAAAAATGTGATTACTAAACACAGAAGTGTATATTTCCTACTGAATTTTTGCTGTGCTGCCTAAGAGTTAAAGTTAATATCTGTTATATTTTTCATTGTTCTCAATTTATAGACACCTTCTGTTTTATTTTAAAATCTGTTAGTTATCACACTTGAAAAATTGGAAATCTGGGATACTCTTATCTGAGAAAACAAGAGGCATACTTTGCACTCTACCTATATTACCTGACTTTAGCTCAGCATGGTACAATGGGTTAAGCTATCACCTGTAATGCCAGCATCCTACACCAGAGTATTGTTTGGATTCCTGGCCACTCTGCTTCTGATCCAGCTTCCTTCTAATGTTCCTGGGAAAGTAGCTGAAGATGGCCCAAGTATTTTGATCCCTGAATCCCACATGGGAAGCCCAGATGGAGTTCCTGGCTCTTGGCTTCAGTATGGACCAAATATAACTTTGTAACAGTTTGGAGAGTAAACCACCAGATGCAAGAGCACTTGTCTGTCTCTGCCTCCCCTTCTCTCTCTGTTACTTGGCCTTTCAAATAAATAAAACCTTTTCAAAAATATCAGATTATTAGACATCAAATCCAAAAGGTGAAGCAATGAGTCTCAGAATTCACACATTAAGTCTGTGTTTATATTTTATTTTATTTTACCTACCATCTAACTTTACTTTAATCATCAGATATTTTCTCTTAATGTCATTCAATTGAAAGGTGTGATAGCAAAGATGTTGTAATAAGTTAGAGATGTCCATACACATAAAAAATTGAAAAATCATTATAAATTGACATAACTAAGAATCTAAATGAACAGAGGATTAATTATACCTCTTACTAGATTTGATAACAGAAATGATCAGTTGTAATCAATTAGAAAAGCATCCTGGGGGCCAGCGCTCTGTCAGTGGGTTAAGCCAAGACCTGTGATGCCAGTATCCCATGGAGGAGCATTGGTTCAATCCCAGCTCCTCCGATTCCAGTCTAGGGTCCTGTTAAAGTGCCTTGGAAGGTAGCAGCAAATGTCCCCAGTACTTGGACCCTTGCTACCCACATGGGAGGCCTGGGTGGAATTCCTGGCTCCCAGCTTTGGTCTGGCCCAGCCTTGACCATCATGGCCACTTGGGGAGTGAACCAGCACATGAAGACTTGTTTGCTTTGACTTTCCCTCTCTATAGTCACTCTGCCTTTCAAATAAATAAAACAAATCTTTGAAAAAAGAAAGAAAGAAAATCATCCTGAAAAATGGATGCTTTAAAGATGGTAAAGCTGGCAACAAGGACAAGCCTAAAAGTAAAATCATACCAACATACAATAGGAATGATCATCTTGGGTAAGGTGGTAGATTCCACCAGCGGTCAATTTAATAAAATAAAATAAATAAAGATACATTCCTAGAGTGTGCTTTTAACAAGTGGCATTCAGGGAAATATCAGAAAATAGCCTTGTCTCTAACCAAGGTTAATAGAAAACAAAGGCTGATGCAGGTTTCTAAACCATGTGTAGTTTGTTCTGAATGGTGGCTTTAGCATTTCAAAGTGACACATGGTATTAGATAGATTGAAGTGTCCAATTAAAAAGCAATCTCAAATCTTGTAGCTGCTATTGTGCTCAGAACACACCTACCCCTAACAAGCTCCCAAAAAGCCATATATGGATACACTATTTATTACTTGAACAATTTTGCAATGCTGGTAAAATTGTTTTAATAATATTTCCGAACATTCATGTTATCAGCTAGGGATTCAACAGCAAAGGCCTCCTGGTTGTTATGTAATTTTGTGCCAAAGCATGGGGCACCCACAACATAAAACTTTATTGATTAGAAATTCTCATTATCCTACGACTTTCGGAAGTTATTATGTACCTGTTGCTATTGCCTGCACTGGAAGAACAAATTTACAGACAAAATATCTGTTTAATTATATTTTTTGCACCACACTGGTAAAATAAATCAGAACTTACCTAAAAACAACGAAGCCACTCTCAGACCAGCTGTAAAATTCATGCTTCTCAGACTCAGCTTCAGCTGGACCAGAAGAGAGATGGATTTCTCAGATGGAGATAGGCCGAGGTGAGCTGACAGATGGGAGTAAATAATCTCAGTTTTGGAGACTTGACAGGGACAAGGACTTTAGGCTTAGCAGGCATACTGGCACTTATGATTTATATAAGAAATATATCTTTGATGCTGATATAATGTGAAGTGCATTCGGAGAAACACCTGTATGGTGATAGTGACATAGATTACTCAAGGATGACAATGCCTGAAAGGAGGCAGCTTTACCTCAGGATTTAGGAGGACACCAAAAGGATTTGTTGAGAATGACTGAGATCGCAATCCAGAAAAGAATTGTACCAGGGTATTTCAAAAAGTTCCTGCAGCACAAAATTAAGAGATAAGTCTATTTTAGTGAAAAAAATGCTAAATGCATACAAATGGTGTGATTTTCAGAAAGTTCACAGAAAATGCAAATTATGAAGAATATGCATTGAAAACTTTTTACCGAAAAAATAACTAATTTTATTTTCAGTTATGTCTTGAAGCACTCTGGTATAAAAAATAACACATAAAAGTATATGTCCCCACATGGACATACACTGAGCTGTAATATGTGTTGTCAGTGAATGTATGTATGCTTATGTGTGTGCACACATACATCTAGTTCCTTTTCAACAATGAACTAATGGGGAATTTTAGCATGCATTATGATTCACCCTGGATTCCCCTTATCCCAGAGTCTGGGGAATACCCTTTTTAGAATGATATTGTTCTTACAACACTTCATTTATTCTAACAGTGGTTGTTTCCTTAGACTATTTGCAGAAGTCATTTTATTTGCTGACACTCATTTCACATATAAACTTTATCAAATTATTTCATTAATGCTTTTTATCTCCATTGTACTTTACAAAATATGAAATGCTTATTTAATGTTTATTTTTATTTATTTTCATCTACTTGAAAGGCAGAGAGGAAGAAAGAGCCAGAGAGAAAAAGCAACAGAGAAAGAGAGAGAGAGAGAGAGAGATTCCATCCACTTGTTCACTCCCCAAAGGCCTGCAGTAGACAGGGCTGAACCAGACAGAAGTCAGGAGCCTGGAACTTCAACAAGGTCTCCTCTTGAGCGAAGGGCCCAAGCACTTGAGCCTTCTTTGCTGCCACTCAATATGCATGAGGAGGAAGCTGGATTGGGAGTAGATAAGCAGGAACATGAACACTCCAATAGGGATGTGAGCTTCCCAAGTGGTGGCTTAGCCCATTGTGCCCCGATTCCCACCCTTGGCTATTTTTAAAAAAAGATATTTGACTCTGCAGATATGATACTACATGGCTTCCCTGTCACAATGTGATTCTCCTTAGATATTTATTGTTGGAGTAATAAGAAATAACAAAACAATCCTGCCCAAATAAAATCGTATTGTGGTATACACTACAAATTTTCCCTTTCTCATCCATTACAATGGCCTTTTTTTTTTAAATTTGACAGAGTTAGACAGTGACAGAGAGAGACAGAGAGAAAGATCTTCCTTCCATTGGTTCACTCCCCAGATGGCTGCTACAGCCGGCGGCCCGTGCGCTGCGCCGATCCGAAGCCAGGAGCCAGGTGCTTCTTCCTGGTCTCCCACGTGGGTGCAGGGCCCAAGCACTTGGGCCATTCTCCACTGCCTTCCCAGGCCACAGCAGAGAGCTGGACTGGAAGAGGAGCATCCAGGACTAGAACCCGGTGCCCATATGGGATGCCGGCAGCGCAGGCGGAGGATTAGCCAAGTGAGCCATGGCGCCAACCCCACAATGGCCCTTCTTGTATCACTTAATAAATGTCCGTGAACCACCAACCTCTTCAGAAAAATTCATTGCCCAACATATGGGCCACACTGATATAGGATAATTTTAATTTTCAAAATATGACTATTTCTCAAAAGAATCAGAGGTTTAGGAGTAAGTACATCATAATTAAATATTCTGTTCTCAAAAATATTAGGAAGAAAGAAGATAAAAATGAAAAAGAAAAACAACATATATGATTAATTACAAGATCTCATAAAACATCTACAATTTCAAGACAGTCTTTGCTATGTCATAAATGAAACATATGTGTGTAATATACTTGAGGATAGAGTTGAAATAAAGGCTTATAGAGAACTTATAGTGACATATAGTAAAGTTTAGACAGAGTGGCTGATTCTAGAGAATATATAATCAAAATTGACTGTAGAAAACTAAGCTGTAACTGCCTACAAGGTATAATAGAGGGATATGGAAGGTGAGCTGTCTTTCATACTAAGATGCATGAGGTACAGGATGTAAGATAGAGCAAAGTACAGAAACATTATTGAAAATCCTGTTTAATGAGCAGTTGTACTCCCAGAATGCCCTCCCACCCACTACCAGCTGACACTGGTGGAAGATGAAAGGTTTCCTTTTGCAGTGAAGGAGAGATGATCTGAACTGAGTTTCTGAGACGTAGCAGAGGGTGGCATTGGATGCCATTCTCAAGTCAAGCAAAATGAGTAAATGTTTGCACAGTACACACTGACACTCTTTCCTGGGCCCAGCACTTTCCTACAGTGCTGGAGGCTACATTTATACTTTCACAGGCAGGAGGGGGAAAAATCTTCTGCAAAGACACAGATATTTTATTTGGGAGCTCCTAACTGAAAGAGCCAACACTGTGAAGCACACCAGTTCACAAGTTTCTTTTCACAACAGAAAACTTCCAATAAGTTCTTGCAGTGCCTGACTCTGAATATGACCAGAGCAGAGAGTCATAAAACACTAGAGAAAATCATTCCCTGTGGCATTGTACCACAAAAAGGACTCTTTTCAACGCTAATTATCTTTTTTTTTTTTTTTTTTTTTGACAGGCAGAGTTAGACAGTGAGAGAGAGAGACAGAGAGAAAGGTCTTTCTTTACCTTTGGTTCACCCCCGAAATGGCCGCTACAGCTGGCGCCCTGTGGTCGCTGCTACGTTGATCCAAAGCCAGGAGCCGGGTGCTTCTTCCTGGTCTCACATGTGGGTGCAGGGCCCAAGCACTTGGACCATCCTCCACTGCCTTTCCAGGCCACAGCAGAGAGCTGGACTGGAAGAAGAGCAACCGGGACAGAATCCAATCCAGCACCCCAACCGGGACTAGAACCTGGGGTGTAGAATCGCAGGCGGAGGATTAGCCTAGTGAGCCACGGCACTGGCCAACACTAATTGTCTTACACAATAACTAGTTAGGAAAACGGTTCAGCTGTGCCTTCCAAACTTATTATCTTTAAACATAATTTTAAAAAAGTCGGCTTTGTAGACACCTGATATTGTAGACACACTGTAACATCTTTTGAAAGATGAAATACTTGGGTGACCCCACAAATAAAAGCAGATATTATAAGCCATAGTGGAATACATTGAAGCATAATTTCCTTTGGATAGGCTCCATAAGCAGAGGACCAAAGAGGATAAGCGACAAGTTATAAGAAATGGCTTGGGCATGGAAAATTTTACACACATAGCAAAAAGAACTGATTATGGGGAAAAAAAAAAAACTTCAGCCCAAAGAATGCTGACTTTGGTAATCACAAGCAGTTTCTATTTTTTGGCTAGGAATCAATTGCTTAATAACCCAGAATTGCAGTTTTTGAAGTGGCAAAAATATATTCTCCTTTTTTGGGGTCTCATGAGATTACTCCATAGCAATATAGAAAAATATCAATGGAGGAAGAGAAATTTCAGGCCATGATATCTATATTTTTAAATAATAATTTGGTACAAAACCATAATCACCATATTCATAAAATCTTTAATGTGGCTGCCGTAACATTTTGGAAATGTTACTGCTTTTAATTACTTAGGAAAATGCAATTTATTTCTTAATCAATAGTTAAAATATTAAATATAATTTAATTTCAAATAATTTGTGTTTTACTAGTCATGTCAGTAGTATGAGGGGGGTCGGCACTGTGGCACAGTGGGTTGATGCCCTGGCCTGAAGTGCCGGCACCCCATATGGGCGCCAGTTCAAGAACTGGCTGCTCCACTTCCAATCCAGCTCTCTTCTATGGCCTGGGAAAGCAGTAGAAGATGGCTCAAGTCCTTGGGCCCTTGCACCCGCGTGGGAGACCTGGAAGAAGCTCCTGGCTCCTAGCTTCAGATCGGTGCAGCTCCAGCAGCTGCGGCCAACTGGGGAGTGAACGATTGGATGGAAGATGTCTCTCTCTCTTTCTCTCTCTCTCTCTGCCTCTCCTCTCTCTGTGTAACTCTGACTTTCAAATAAATAAATAAATCTTAAAAAAGGTAATATGAGAGGACTCAGAAAAGCTCATAAAATGAAATTTAAAAATAATTTTTTTCTGATGCAAAAATGTAGAAGACATGCATAATTTTTTCATGATATACATTTCCATTAAATTTTTGAAGGTCCCTTGTATTTAAATGTTTAGGAAAATGCTTAATAGAAATATTCATTTTCAAGGATGGGTATTTAGCCTAGTAAATTAAGATACCCTCTTTCCTTATTGAGCTGGACCCACTCAGAAATTGTAAAAGCCATCAAACCACCCCACCTTGGTTATTTTTCATCTGCCAAGAGAATGATGATGCACTTACCAGCATCTCTTTGTGCCTGGATATCAGAATGACAGACTTGGGAGGCAAGCCACCTCCAATTTGCAAGCAACATGTAAAACGATCAAGCAAAAAAATATGTGATAAAAGCCTCTGTGATTTTAGTGTTGTTTGCTAATCTCTGTTTTTCTATTACTAATAACACAATACCATAGACTGTATGCTACAAAGAAAAAAGAAACTTATGTTGGCTCACATTTCTAGTCTGTGTTTAGGAACCACTGGAAAGATGGCATTTGGAAGCCCACAAATTTATTTCATTCTTAATTTTCCAGGAAATATCGTAATGATACTCTCAAGCTTGAAACTACATAGAGGATATTTGCTATCCACTAAATTCTGTAGGATCAAGACCAGATTTCAAATAAACTTAATGGTAATGAATTTCCTTGATGACATTAAGTAAGTATTATACATAAATTTAGTCACCATATTAAGCAAGTAATTATATTTGACCAGAGGTTTCTGAGGAAACTCTTCTATTTAGTGCTATGAAATCCTCTGACATAACCAGCATAGAATTTCTAATTTAGTGCTGATTGCAAGTCAATATTTAACTGTTGTAACTTTTGATATTCTCATAGCATTATGAGATTTTTTTTAAAGTGAATTGGGCTTCCTGGTGTTGAAGTAGCACCACAGCATTAGTTTTGTAGCTCTATTTTTAGTAACAATGTTATTGTTAACTTTTATTGGCAAATATTTTATTTACAACTCTTCATGTGTTTTCATCTGGAAAAAAAAATCTTTACATGATGTCCAAAAGAATAATTCCTCTTACTTGAGAAACACAACTAGTCAGTCATCCCTATTAACACATTTGTGTTCCTAGAAAGTATAGGCAGAGTCAACTGAAGATATATCCATCATTTCATCAGCTTCAATTCATTATGACAATTGCTCATCTTGGTGGGAATAAGTTTATGAAGTGCCTTGCTATACTTTCATCTTTGTGTAGACATTATCTTACACAAACTTAGGAGGCATACATCACTTAACCTGACCTTTTGATAAAATCAAGAGATGGAGTAAACATGAGGTGTATGAAATTGCTGCCAAAGAAGCACCACATACTGTTTATAAGTAAGCTTTTTTCTTAAGTAGGAGAACATTCTAAAATAATGATAACTATACAAGCCTTACGAAGAAACTATGATCTTGACTTGTAGCTTGACAGACAGGAACTGGGGGTCCTTCCCAGCCATCAGGAGACGAGTGTTGGAGGACCTGAGAAAAGCCAGGCATCCGGCTTCTCTGTAGGATGCTGCTATCACGTTCTAGTCCTTGAAATCAAGGTTTTTTCTGTGCTGTTGTAACTGATCTAGGTAACAAGAAATCCATGCATTTTAGAGGAAAGATTTATGTGTCTTCTGTTGTCTCTACTAAGTCTGCATTGGAGCTCCCACCCAATTAACCAATCAAAACTGTCCCTGTCCCAGAACAATCATGAAAATTTCCTCTTTTATAGCCTATAAAATCCCCTAGAAAATCAGCCCTTGGCAGCTCCATTCTTCAGGGACCCTTCTTGGTGCTGCTGGGAGATATTTTTTCATCTTTTGTTTCTCTGCTTTCTTTCAATAAACTACTTTGCTTTATACAATCATCCTTTCCTGTGCTCTTCATTCTTTGTGTGTTTGAAAAAAAAAAAAAAAAAAAACAACCCTGGGGGTTGGGGTAAAGAATTATAATAACTACAAACTACTGCAATATTGTTTGGTGGCTCATCCAGGGTCATCAGAAGGAGAAGTAAAGACCAACTGCTTCTGCTTCTTTTTCTGTAGACCCTGTTCTACACCATGGTCTACTGTCAATGAAAACCCCCAGGTCTCTGTCAGCCAGTTTAAAGCAATTAGCACAACTGCCTATCTCAAAGGCTCAGAGGACATGCTTCCTGTGGTAGACCTGACTAATCTACCTCCATCTTTTGGCATTAGGGATGCTGATCTTGCTTTGCCTCAGTTTCCTTTAGCATAAATTCATCCAATGTGTGAAACTAGAGTAAGCTCTTGGAATAATTAAAGGTTTCTGGCCAAGTAGCTCCCTGGTGCTGCCTGAACTCTCCCTAATCAGATACAGACTCTTCAGAGCATATTAGCATGTTTGACTAAAATCTGCACTTCCGTCTGTCCCTCTCTCTTTCTCTCTCTCTCTCTCTCTCTCTCTCTCTCTCTCTCTCTCTTCACCTCACCTATACCTCCTCAGAAAGCAAAGAGGCCAAAGAGGCCAGACAGATTTCTCCACTTAAGGTAAAAACAGAAAGGTCTTTATCCATTCATCTTTTGCAACCTGATAGATTTGTATTCTCCCTTCTCTGCAGTTTATATTTTGTTGATGGCTCTTTTTCTTCAGCTCTTGATGACATAATTATATTATTCTCTATAGCTTGGAAGAATTGAGTCTTGAAGGAGTTAGCATTGTCTGCCTATGTTTAGTTATTGGCGTGATTACCATAACTCTGATTGGATCTGGCCAACTGCTTTCATTAAAATATTCAGGTTAAATGGATTATTACAACTTTTACTTTGGCCAAATGCCAAACCTCTGATAATTTATATGTAAAGCTCTAAACTGAGTACCTTAACCTTTAGACTTCCAGATGGATCCCTGGAACTCTCAAAAGAAGGCTCTCAATTGGGAGAGATTATGAGTTTGAGTTAATCTAAAATGATGCCAAACTTATGTTGTACTTATATAAAGATCTGATACTTTTCACGCCAAAGTCAATAAGATCTGATTTCAGAACAGACCCATCACCTGAGGCCCTTTACCAGTTGTCTTGTCCTGAATGTTATGTTGGTTGCATGATTATGGGGAGAAGTCAGAATGTATGCTCTCTCCCTTGACCTCACTGTCCAAACGGGGCACCATCAGTTCCAGAACAGGAAGTGACTGCCTTCCTTCCTGCATTCCCAGCCTTACTCACAGCCCTCCCTACTTTATGTGTGCTGGTGCTAAGGTTTAAAACCCTGGAGGGAGGGTGGATAAATGATGTCACTGTCAGTGTAGATGTCAAGACAATGCACCCATGAGGAGTCTCTACCACTGAGTAGGGAATCCACATCAGGGACAAGGATTAGCTCACCAGACATGAGATAGGTATATATGCACATCATTCCAGCTGCATGGCCACAACTGGCTAAAGAGATCAAAAAAGGGCAAACAGACTTTATTCCTGTCAAAGACAGTAGGCTCAGTTTGCAGACAAGATTCTTTAAAGGGTGACTGACAATGACACATACAAACTAATAAATCAAAAAGGGAGGTCCAGACTATCAGGACACTGAGAAATTTGGATCCATGAGGCTCATAGAGTAATTAGGCTAAAGTATATGGTGCAAGACATTTAAGTCAAGTCTACATAATATAATCCTGATGTGTATAATCTACCAGACCCTCTAGGAAGCCTGCTTTTGGATATGGGCATATGCTGGCTGGACACAGGATGGATGTCTTCAGCAAGACTTAGAGCAAAGACAAGGAGGCAAATGGAATCAAAGTTAGGCAAAGGTAAGGGTGACTACTCCTCTT